TGGATCCTATGGGGCAAGGTGACGTCACCTAGCACCAGTCGTTTGCATATGACCGCCTCCAGCGCAAGACAACTACGCCTAATTTTGCATCATCGCATCGTAGTCACGCCCACAGCTGTTCAGTCAATGTGCAGCGAGTGGGTCTGAAGAAGTAGCTGTTTACAATACGATTGTGATGCCACACAGATGTGCCGTTCCTGGCTGTGGAAAAACTTGTTAACAGCAGCTGATCATTATTGGCTGAATTTACTCATTAGTGTTCATTCTCTCTGTCAGGTGGACTGTATTAGTAAACTCATGCAGGGAATAGTGAATGAGGGTGTAGGGTGTGATTTGAAACACAGTCTCTGAGTGTCGACTCTGAGCGCTGTTACTACACAGTACTGCAGAAGGCTACTTTCTCGAAAACAACAAATATTACCCAGAATGCATTGTTTTCTACAGGATTTTACTGTTTTAATGAAAAAGCAGTATGTTACTGTCACAATATGGCCATTTTTTAAAGCAATTTTTTACAGTGTGTTTTTGTGTAAATAAACAGCCAAAATTTATAAAATGTTTTCAGTTTTTAGTGTAAAAAAAAAACTTCACACTGTCTCTCACTTATTTCAAATGAATCTTCATGTATAAAATATACACTACCAGCCAAATGTGTTGACAAACTTTTTTTTCTTTAATATTACAAAAAAAATTAAATTAAATTCATATTAAACTAAAATAAAAACAACATACTTATGTCTTGAAAACTTTTAAATAACACAAATGGAACTCTGGGAGTGATGTTGTGATCAAAACATGTGACACAAATGAAACTCTTATATTTGAGCTTCTTCGTTGTCAAGTTCCCTACTCTCGACATTCAACAATCAAAACTTCAGTAAAAGACTATTGGAGGAACAGGTATGGAAAAAAACTATGGAAGTCAAACTGATAAACTGTTGCCAGTTGTGGCCTGCATCAAGTTCAACACATACTTGCATACAGAACACAAAAAAACTAAACAAAACAGACAAAAAAAAGTATTCTTATATCCCTCCCTATTCTACCTTGTCATACAAATTCAAAACACCGTTCTTAATTGTACAAGCCTAACTACTAAACTAATAAATGTAAATATTTAAATTTGAATAGGAATAACAGAAGCCAAATTCTCTTATCGAGTTTTATGGTCTGTTTCTTATGTTAAATAAAACTAGATAACTATGCAAAATGTCATATAACTGCAAATGTTTTGAACCGTAATGGGCAGGGCTCCAATTTCTCACATTGTTCAGCCCCAGTATTCCTTACAAAAAATAAGTATATTTCAAATTAGGGCTGCAAGATAAATCGCATGCGATATTTAATGCGCATCTTGTCAGAAAGCTGGTTCTGTAATCAGCGGTAAATCTCCATCACCTGCGTGCTTTCACATTCAGCAGCACTAACTACACAGATCCATTGTTCACTGACGAGCTACGCAAAAAAAAAAAATTCTCGCTGTAGTATTGTTGCTGCCGCCGCCATGTCATGTCAAGTCAAGTCAAGTCACCTTTATTTATATAGCGCTTTTAACAATAACGAAGACAAGAGACACAGACTTGACTCTAGAGACACAGACTTGACTTGACGAGGCATGAACAGACTTGACGGGGCATAACAGACTAGACTCACCGACAGTGGGTTACATCAATACACGACCAAGACTATGGGAACATGATGGCTACTTAAAGCAGACAAGGAGGGTCACATGACTTGAACAAACCAATGGGGAACAAGACACATGACTAAGACTATCTTGGCCGGGGCCTCAGGCGTGGCGGCCATCTTGGCCGGGGACTCAGGCGTGGCGTGAGCAGACTCTGAAATGGCGGCCATGTCGTGACGAGACTCTGGGAGATCAGTTGAGACGTAACAAGACTCTAGAAGGGCGGCCATTTTGCGAAGAGACTCTTGTGTGGTGGCCATCTTGCGATGAAGCTCTTGAATGGCGGCCATGTTGGGAAGAATCTCTTGATGTGCCGGCATGACGTGAGCAAGCTCTGGCTTGGCAGACGTGACGTGAAGAGGACTTGTCATAGCAGACATGATGGGAGCAGGCTCTGGTTTGGCAGACGTGACGTGAGCAGGCCCTGGGGTAGCAGACATGACGTTATCAGACTCTGGCTTGGCAGACATGACGTGATCAAGTTCTGACTTGGTAGATATGACATGAGTAAACTGACTTCACTGTCATGATGTGAGCAGCAGGCATGACGTGAGCAGACTCTGGCTTGGCAGACGTGATGTGATGTGAGCAGACTCTGGCTCTGCTTTAGTGCCGTGTTCCTTCTCCACGACACCCACAGTGAAAGCAGATCCACTCAACTGCAGAGCAAAGTCTATATATTCAGCAAGGGACCTGTGAACTGCAGATCCACTCAACTGCAGAGCAAAGTCTATATATTCAGCAAGGGACCAGTGAACTTTTCCCCCAGGAAGCTGGGAGCAAATGGGCTCATTCAGACCCACCCGAAAATTTTGCTTTAACGCCACATCATTAAAGTCCACCTGGTTAGAAAGTTCACAAAAATCCTGAACATAATCCTCTATGGAGCGATTACCTTGACGGAGGCGAATCAGATGATCTGCTGGGTTCATAGTAGGGGTCGTGTATTCTGTAACGAATCAGTCCACCGAAGGCGAGCGTATGAAGAACCCAAGTGCAGTTTATTTACAGTGGTCCAAACATAATCCAAACAGACGAAGACAAGAGACACAGACTTGACTTGACTTGACTTGACTTGACTTGACGAGGCATGAACAGACTTGACGGGGCATAACAGACTAGACTCACCGACAGTGGGTTACATCAATACACGACCAAGACTATGGGAACATGATGGCTACTTAAAGCAGACAAGGAGGGTCACATGACATGAACAAACCAATGGGAAACAAGACACATGACTAAGACTACCAATCAGAACATGACACATACACAAGGCAGAGATACATGAGGGCAAGGGAAGCATGACACTAACAGGGTGAAACAATACAAAATAAAAGACACGAAAACAAGAACATGAAACAAAACTCAAACACCACATTACAGTATGCTGTTTATAATGAATGCCACTATAGCCTAATTTGTGTTTTATTTTATACGCACCACCAGAGGGAACCGTCTCCCGAATATTAGACATTCCCATTCGGACTCCAAATCCCATCTTCCCTCATGCCTGGGACTGATTAATCAGCCACACCTGCACCTCATATACACACACACATATAAACCACTCACACACACGGACTCTCTGCGAAGTCTTGATGTGCCCTGGCTGTCATTTCCGAGCGTTATACCCGTGTTTGATTTTCTGTGCATCTGTTATTGGACTGTTACCCGTTACTCTGATTGTTATCTGCCTGCCCCGACTTGGACTGTTTTCCCCTGGACTCTGATTGCTTGCCGCCTGCCCGGATCTCGCCCGGACCTTGTGTTGTCTGACCATTCTAATAAAAGTTGCAAATGGATCCACACACTTCTGACTCGTCACAACACCATAATTATGTCCCCACTGGATGCAACAAATGCCTTCAGGAATGGGTCCCCTCACAAGCATACTAAAATAGTCTAAGAATATCACAGACAAAATACACAATGACAATAATATACTCAATGGCCTGAAGAAATATGTGTGTTCATTCAAATAACGTTTTTTCTATGAATTAACTAGAACACAGTCCATTTCTACTCTGTTTTTCCTTGGGACAAAGAGTGGGCTATCCTTCTCACATTCCTGGGGGGTCATAAAACCAGTGATATCATGATTAGTTGTCATGGTGACCATAGCGCCTGGTGTTCAGCAGACATCCTGGCATCCAGTTAATTGAGTGAGGGGACTGTGACGATTTGTTAACCTAATGAATAATTGATTTGTTAAATCAAATTAAAATTAGTGTGTCAGATTGGTCGAGACGCTACACAACACACTGGATAGCTGGCCAATCACAGCACACCTCGCTTTTCAGAACGATGAGCTTTGTAAAAATCGACGTGTTTCAGAAAGGCGGGGCATAGAGGAGAAACAATAATGTACAGTATGTGGAAAATAATGTGTTCTTTGAACCTTAAACCGCATAAACACATTTCATTACACCAAATACACAAAATAATGTTCTTTTTAGCAACGTCATATGACACCTTTAAAGAAAGTTCAAGAATATTTTTGAGTATATTTTATGTAGCATGCATACTAATATCAATGTACTAGTAGTATTTTAGTAAGTGTACTATTTTAATACTTGGCAGTGGCGTAGCCGGAATTTTAATTTTGGGGGCGGACATGTAAATGCAGGCTCCTCGTGGCTATGCCACTGCTACTTGGGACTAAATTGCTCCACTTTGTAGTTTTTTTTTTTAAGTATACTTTAAGCGTAATAACAATAGTATACTTTGAGTACACAACTATTTTACAACTCCATTAAACAATTTTTTTTAATTTGTACTGCGGCTATGCTACTTATATGTATACTGTGAGTTTCCTTGTTAAATACTTGTAGCACATTTTTTTTGGTTATGAATTATTAAAATTTTTTATTATTTTATTAAAATTTTTAGTATTTAACATTTTATAATTTTTTTGTACTTGAAATACGCCTTTAACTGCAGATTTGAAGTAAATTCCTATGTACACTACCAAAGAAGGTCAGGTTCAGTTCCACGCATGTTTTATTTACCCTAAGCCAGCGGTTCTCAAAGAGAGGTCTGCAGACCCCAGGGGTTCTGCAAAATAATTTCAAGGCCCTATGACTTTCACGATGCAGAAAAATACAGACAGAATTGGGGAATCCAAATGTAATTTACTGTATAACAAATTTATAACAAATAAATAAATAAAAAGTAGGACTGCACACATATTCAAATTGTGATGTATCCTATAGTCTGTGAACATGAAGCTGCAAAAAGACTATGTTTAAATATGAATACTCAAACACGTGTGATGCTCGTGGTGTTTTCAGTGTCTGCGTCTCACTAGGACATGAACTTCATCTCCAGAGCCATGTCGGCATGGGTTTCCACAGTCCAGAGACACGAAGTTTCGATAAAATTATCCATAGATGTGTAAATGTATGGAACAGCCATCCAGCCACCTCTGGCCTAAGAAACTGGGATAGGCTCCAGCCCTATGGCCCTAGGGCTTATACAGATATATAGAGAGAGATATTGTGTAGATAGTACCTGTCACCTGTGACACAGTATTGGTAAAGTTTAACTACATGTATTTCAGAAGCATTTGGCTGTGGACCAGTGTGATAGTCAAACAAACTAGACATGAATCCAACCAGATAGGCAAAAGTTTCTAAGTCATGATGTAATATCTCTGCAAAATCTTAGATTGTTAGACAATAAGCAAAAATGTCAGCTCAATTTAAATGACAGTGTATATATTATAGGGCACATTAGTCTAGGCTTACTAGAGTGATTGAGGGAAACTGAACTTCCAGTATCCGTACTCGTCTTTTCACATAATTTTTTAACATACACAGTTTTGGTGGCAACTCCAGTGAGTCATAGGTTTCGTTTTATCTTCACACTTACAACTTATAAAAGAAACAGGCACAGTTTCACAATTTCAGTGACATTGCACGTTGTTCTTCATATTCATATTCATCTGAGAATGAGGAGCGCATTTCTTCTGTTAAGTCTTCTGTTCGGTGCTCACACCTTTGAGATTTTTCAAAATGCAAACTCTAAAAATCATCAGGACATTACAAGAAGTGCCATTCTGCATGCTTCTGCAAAGGCCTGTGAGAGGGTTAAAACTTACAGAAAGGTATGGATAAATGTGTGTGTTTGTCAGTAGAAGTTATCTATCAGACAATGTGTTCTGCTTTCATTTTTAAAATGCTTTCTGAATACTCTGTGAATATTTATGTGGCCTCTCATAGCTTTCTGTTTATTAGGCCTATTGATTCAAAGAAATATACAAATAATATGTTGTAGTTATGCTTGCGAATGCAACAGATTTCTGCAGAAAAAAATTATAATTTACAAAATAAATAAATATGAAAACACAACAAAACAAAGTGTAGCCTACAACAATATTCCAGAAGATGTCAGTTGTAGTTTAAAAATATTAATTTAATATACTCATTGTTAAAATGTCAAATTTATTGTGTTTAGGACAATATTTGAAACATGTTTTATTTCAAACCTTTTTATTAGAGACACTGAAAACATTTATTTATTATTTTTTTAAATAAATACTCAGTTTAGAAGGAGACATGACATAACATATACCTGGGCCAAGTGAAATGACTAAAAATTCAGCCCTATGTTGTTTTCATTGTGATGTGTGATAAAATAAAGTTTTTTTAACTAATAAAATCATATCTTATGATAGGAAGGAATTAGTAAGAAAGAACAGACTCCTCTCAGGTCAAGACAACTATTTATTTAGTGATAATGAACAGACTGACTACAGACTGTATATGTACACTTACATATGATAGACTGAGTAAAAAATTATCTTTAGTATTCCTTGCACTTTGAAGTGCCCAGCAGTCTTATAAATAAAAAAAATCCAGTTTGGCTGATGTGCCTCATGAACACTGAACTATTATAATAATACTGTCTTTTTTTTCCTATGGTTTTCAACTGAACACAGCCAATAGAACTGAACTCAAAGACACTGGCAGAGGTCTGTGGACATGGCACACATGAGAATTTTGAAAAGGCCATACAAATAATCTCATACTACAATGTGAAGACAGACCTGAAACATTTCCCAGATGCGAAATACCATTTTGACAATGAAGAATTTACAGAGGGGAAAAAGCTTATAATCACAGGAATAGAAAATATCACAAAGTCCATTAAAAATGATCAATTTGATGATGCAAGAATTACGCTTGGGAAAATCCTGCACACTTTACAGGTGAGTTAAGAGTAAAGGTGTACAATTGCTGTTAATGTTCACTCAAAAAATACGTTTGAACATTAGCACATGGAGGTTTCAGGTAAAGAACAGAGATAAAGTCTGATTTAATTCTGACAGGCGAGTCTGGTTCCCCTCAAGGTTTTTGTCTCTACTACCAAAATATCTTATGTAGTTTTTTTTTCTCCTTGCCACAGTCACCTTCTGTGGCTCACCAGGGGCTTGAAAGAGTTTAAAGCATGTTTTTTCCCTTGTAAATATGTGCATGTTTTTAAAATACATGTATTGTGAAAAGTGCTATACAAGTAAACAACATGGCTTAAATTTATTCTAAATTGCTCATATGAGCTGACCATCTACTAACTCACCCGTGTGTCATTTGGTAAATGAAAGGATTTCTACAGCCACAGTAACTGGATTGAGCTGGGAAACACTGAACCCTGTACAGCACTGATCAATAAAGAGGAAAACATACCCAACCCTGCAGGTGAGTGTTTGTGTGCGTGTTCGCCAAAAAATAAAGAAGAAAAAAAAATAATGTTTGCATATTCCCCAGATAAAGCCGAAAAAACATGCGAGGAAAACTGTAAAAATGGCAATTGTGGGGCACAATTTTTGGATAAAATTTTGAATGAAAAAATTCTGACATCAGGATACTTTGGAAAAGGAAAACCAAGAGGTAACATTTCTTTTATTTACAGATAGAAACTCATCAAAGACAAGCAGAGCCAGGAACATTTGTGAGCAATTACATTATTATCATTGTTATTATTATGTCTTGACAGGTAAATGTAGCCATGGAGGTTTTTTAGATTTAACAACTGGCATTTGGAGAAGCTGGGATGGTATCAATAAAGACTACAGTGACTCTAGCCATGGTTCACGGCATAAGGAAGCTGCAGATGTTGCCATCACTGCCAGTGTGCAACTGCTGGAGAAGATCTGGGAGAATATAGACAACCAAGGTGGAAACAAGTTTCTCAGGTACAGAGAGGTGACTTACTAACTTGAACTAAAGCCATCCTCAGTGCCTGTACTCCCTATACGGACAGCACACAAGTTGCATAGGGCCCCCAAACCACCAGGGGCCCCCCCCTTGCTTTAAAAGATGATATAATGCCTGTGCCATTAATTGAATTTTAGTTTCATTTATAATTTTGGCTTCCAGGATTATGAAAACACTAGGGATGCACGATATATCGGCCACCATATCGGTATCGGCCCATATCGGCTCATTTTTTCTGTTATCGGTATCGGCCTGATAAGAAAATTTGGCCGATATCTTAAAGCCGATAAATAATGCATTATTTCCTTCAGAGACACTTCAGATGCGCGCTGTTCGTTTGCAGCCTTTTGTGCAATTGTACATTGTAATATTGTGTTTATTTGATGTATATCTGATGTATCTCATATAGAATGCGTTTGGTAAAGTTAAAAGAGCGCTTCAGTTTACCGGTGATCATCTTTAGCTCAGCACACGCAGCCCAAACAGCAGTGCACAACATTAATAACTATGATTGGGAATGTCGTGTATATAACATTCTAATGAGAACATTATTATAATAAAACATTGTGAATTCTTTGGGTTTAGTTGCCGTGTTTCAGCGCGTTGATATGGGAAGAGCGCATCCACAACAGGATCACACATTCTGACTATAGCACGCAATAACTGCGTCATTTTGTACATATATAAGTTGTAATATTATGTTTATGTTGTATTAATATTAATCTCAGGATGCATTTCCTTGAGTTAAATAAGCTGCCAGCAAAACGCTTCAGTTTACCATGTTCATTCAGCTCTTCAGCTTCAGCACGCGCAGCTCAACGGCTGCTATTTAAAACAGTGGTATTAATTTGTTACTTTTTCAAAATCATTGATATATTATTAATAACAACAACCACTTGTATTGTTCTCTTATTATTTTCATCAACAATATGGTTTAGTAATTAAAATCATTTAATTATTGTCCGTGCAGAGGCTATTCCGTTTTATTGATCTGTGGCGCATTCATTTTGATTCTTTACACGTGTAATGATGTCCAGTGACTTGTTTGCATTATTTATGCATTATTTTATTTATTTGTAAGACTTTTTTATGACTAAATTTGGTAATGGGAGAGTAAAAATATTTTTAAAACGTACACCGTTCAAACTAGGCTGCTTATGTTGAAGTGTTTGGGATGTGGCTTTTAATGATGAGACCTTTTTTGTAATCAGGCTCTCAAAAAGTATATAACAATTTGGATATAGATTTATCGGCCAACATATCGGTTATCGGCTTTCAAAAATAAAGAGTTATCGGTATCGGCCAAAATTTTCATATCGGTGCATCCCTAGAAAACACAATGCCACATTTTGTTATTTTCTTTTAAAGTGGTGTGTGTTTGTTTAATGAGGCCAAAAGAGAACCCTCTAAGTAAATATAATACAGCTCAGTGTAAGTTGTATATATTTTGTGAATTTTCTTTGTTACTCTTGTGAGTTGTATGAGATGTTCCTCATAATAGGGTCTCTCGCATAAAGCCGAGTTGAGCAAACACTCAAAGCCATGCCAGCAACTTGACCCTCTTAAAAGGATAGAGATTTCTGAGAAGTTCTTATTAATATTTATTATCTTAGTAAGATTCCAATTTATTCAATGGATGCTTTTATCCACAGTGACATACTTACATATAAGGAATAAAACAAAGTGGTAAAGAAATAACATAAGAAATGTGGAAAATATGAAGTGAAATCTTTCGATATTTCATGAACATTGAAAGGGCCGAGAATTAGATGTTAATAAAAGGAAATGATGAAGATGATGATGGTGTGAAATAACACAGACACTTGGTCTGAAAAAGTCCCAAATCTCAGATTCACTCAACTCTGTACCTAATAATTTACCAATAACTTGTTAAGCCTATTTTTTATCTTCTCCTATTTATACATGCTTATTTGGTTAGTTGCGTTTTATTAATTACATTTAGCATGTTTTACTGCTGTCTGTGACCCATCAGGACTGACTTGTGATCCATCAGTTGAGAATCACTGATCTTTTAGCTACTGACGGTCTTTGTTTCCTTTTTTTATCTCTCTTTCAGACTGATGGGGCTTCATCCGACACCGCCAAAGGGCAAATGGAAACCTAGTTTTTCTATATTTCACTTCAAATCAAGATATCCAGAAGTTATGGATAGTAATGATGATGAATAATGCCTGTGCGCAAACAGCACATTTAAGACATGTGCATTAAATAACGTTTTCAGATCTCTATGTTGCTTCCTGTTGTTCATCTTTTACCTCATGATCGGCAGAATTATAATTTTTATTTGTCACACAAAATCTGTTTCATTATCACAAAGGCCAAATCTATTTTGGTAGCAGGAATACTATAGAGATCAAAGGTTATTGCATTTCAGACTCTTCCAGTATTCAGGTTTCAGCAGAGGTCATTGATATTGACTGTCTATGCAAATGTCAAAAAGTACATCTCAACTTACAGTGGGGGAAATATTTATTTGATCCCCTGCTGATTTTTTAAGTTTGCCCACTTACAAAGAAATGAAGGGTCTGTAATTTTTATGGTAACCAAAAAGTCCAGAAAAAAACACATTAAGGTTAGAAATTGATTTGCATTTCAGTGAGTGAAATAAGTATTTGATCCCCAAGCAAAACATGACTTAGTACTTATATATATAGTGCAGAAACCCTCGTTGGCAAGCACAGAGGTAAGACGTTTCTTGTAGTTGGTCACCAAGTTTGCACACATACCAGGGTCCGTATTTATAAAGCCTCTGAGAATTACTCTCAAGAACGCTGCTAAGAATTGACTTGAAAGTGTAAAAAACTTCTTGGCTCAAAGCTGCACTTAAAAGTTAGCTATCAAGCATCTCAGTCGTAATTTAAGCAAAGTCTAGGACTAGATCTTAAGTGTCAGGCTTAGAGTTGAAAGTGGCGACACTGCTGTGCCACAAACGGGATTTTGGATGATGAAATACGCAGACTAATCACTGAATAGATTTCCTTATTTAAGAATATGCTCAGATAAATTCACATTGAATGGTGAAATTCCTAATAGGAGTTTACATTCAACACACATTTGACAAAGAATTTTCAAGAGAATACATTATGGTAAGAAAACGAAGAAGAAACGTCATCACAACCTTCAATTTAGGGTTGTGCCGGTAGACGATATATAGTCAGTGTATTGACGATAGTCAGAGATATCGCCTGTTGCTGATTTCTTTGACGACAGCAAGATGATTATTATTATTATTATTATTCGTCAAAAATATAGGCGCCTATCTTTAGTGATGCAGCTGCTTCAGAGCCGTTTCAGAAACTGGTGAGTGTCCGTGATCAGCTCCGGTGGCCGTGTCGCAACCCTAACGCGCCGCAGACGTGTGCAGTGTAAATAAGGGGTAAGAGATTTATTCATGAAACAGTGTTGGTAGCTTCACTGATTATAACAGAGTGTTTTTAAAGAGCCTATAATACTTTGAAGTCTGAAGTCAGTTATGATGTTCTTTGGTAATGTAAATATTCTTTGCTCGTTTTGAAAGGTAACTGTTTGATTAACTGCTCGTCGTCAAATATTTCAAGAACATTCTTTCTCTCCTGAAATATTGTCTCCTCAGCGCCGTCACAAGCCCCTACTGACAACTCTTCACCACTTGAGAGACCTCTCGAGCTGTCTTAAAGGGGTCATATGATGCTGCTAAAATATTTATTTAATGAATATTTATTTATCTAACACACATACTCAGTCTACATTTCAATTTGCACATAATATACCTGTACATACAACTGTCTATTGTTATATACCTGTACATACAATTGTCGATTTGTATTTTTTTTTTATTCCTTATTTTACTTGTTCTATTTTTTTTATTTTTATTTTTTATTAAAGTAATGTAAATGATAACTTTTGATTACTTTTCTAAATTTCTAATGAATGTTTATTTGCAACTATTGATAATTTTCAAACATTTACAGCATGCAGGGTTATCCTTACAGTAGTGCTCAACACTGTCAGACTTTCACAATCCTTCATCACTTGAATTAAGATGATCACATTTGAACACATCCACCACAAAATCAGACTTTAGTACCGCCTTTTACTTTGAGATTGATCTGAAGTTCAATGCAGATTTAAAATCATAAGAAATAGTTTACTGATACTGTTTTTGAAACCAAATCTTTGCATAACTACAGGAAACACTGCATCTAACAATGGTTTGAAAAAAAAAAGTTAAAAATTTTTTTTTAATTAAAGCATATACATCAATTCAAATACAGTTATCTAATAAGCATGTGTGTTATTCTGTGTACTAAACTCCTGAAACATTGGTGTCTCTTTGTATATGATATGGTGATAGTTTTCTCAGAATAAGTCAAATGCTCATGAAGTGACTCAGAGCAGTTCTGGAGATTATGTTTATGTATTCATGTACTCATATTTTGAGACGGCAGAGGCTGAAAACACTGTGAGTTTCAGAAAATGAAACCGCATGTCTGCGCCATTAATTTCCACGAGGGGTAGACTGGGGAAAAAATGTCATGCCGGGAAATCTCACACTCATACACCCACAACATATTCTGAAACATGGATAACCCTATTTTTTGTATGGACCTCACATAAAAAAGGTTTAAATCCTTAGGCTGGGGACATGCAAAATAATTGGGTTAGGGTTGTGTTGTCTGCCCTAGCTCCCCCTAAACCTATTATAAAATATGATTATTTGTCTGCTAAATTACTACTGTAACATTACAATAGAGAATAATGATGTCCTTTATACAGTATTTTGAGTGATGACTGATGAGCAATGCGCTGCTGCTGCACTTATTATATATCAAATGCCCATTCTTCGTAAAAAAAGTTCGCAATGGCTAGGCGGAAAATCGTGTGTGGGACTAATACATTTCTAAGATTAATTTTACTGCTTTATGAATATAAAAACCAAAAGAAATGGTATTCTTTGTAAAGAAGACACTCCAAGCTTTCAAATGAACCCATATATGGGCTGATACCATATAAGGAAGGCTATGCAAATGAGGCATACACATTTTTTACGGGACTTTGGACCCGTATCCGGGTCCGCAGAGTTTAACTGGTTAAACAAACGTCATTATCAGAACTGAGATCATATAGGATCATGTTTAAAAAAAAAATAAAAAAAAGAAAGTAATTTCAAAGGAAGAGCAAGTCATTTCATTTTTAATGAAGGTTCTACTGATTAATCATTAACAAGAAGACAAAAAGGAATGTTTTAACAAAATAAACAGGAAAACTTGTTTTGACACCTTTTTGATTGATGCATTTTTGTTTGGTAAGATTACAAAAACCAGTAGGATTTGTAGGATTATTTGTTGTGTAGACTTGTAGGATTTCTAATCATGGACCAAATTAAATCCCCAAAATTTCTTTCAGCCGATAGAATTGCTTTGGAATCCAAGCACGTAGAATTTTAAAAGGTCCTTGTCATTGACAAGGGCTTCTGCATTTGAACATGTTTTCTTTTTTTCTCTCTTTTTTAAACTTTTCTTAATCTCTGGTGTTCTTTTGTTCTTCACAGCCTGTCCTAATGGTCATCTATGTACTGTTGGTGAGGTAGGGTCATGAGATTCTTGTCATTTGGCTTGAAATCACAGCATCAGCTACACATACTTAAGTCATAAAACACAGCATTAGTTTTAATTTAATGTGATCAAATCTTTGTTTTTAATATTTTTTTTAATTAAACATTTATTCTCTTTTTGCATCTGGCCAGTGTGGTAAACCCATGGAGAAGGGTTACTGTCCAGAGTGTAAAGCAGAAATAGGCGGCCAAAAACACATCAGTGTTAAAGACTTCAACCCCACGAACATACAGTGAGTTACTCTTGAAGCAAATGCCTGTCATACCTCTTTTATTGGTAAACATAGTTTATTACCTGGCTGGCTCTCTGGAATATTTGTTTCTGATTGCTCAATCATGGCATTCTGCATTTAAATATTTTAGGATAAAAACCTTTCAGCTGTATAATTGACCATTGTCACAGCCAGCCAATACACAACCATTGAAATGTTTGAGCACACTTGACAAAATTTGATTATCGTGATCTTAAAAACCTTTAATCCAAAGGTTTCTACTGAAATGCTTGAAATTAGTTTTGTAAACGAATATAAATTGTTCCTATGTATGGATCTCTGGTAACATTTTACAGTAAGGTTTATTTTGTTAACTTTAGTTAATGCATTAGGTATTTATGAGGTAATAATGGACAGTTTGTTTTTTTTACAGCATTTATTAATATAGATCAATGTTAGTTTATTAATACACTACTTTTGATATTTGCTGTGCATTCATGATACATTAATGCAAATTTGTACAACTTGAAATAATTTTTTTTTATTAATATATGAAGAAATTTAGAAGCCGCCTCTTACAGCAGCTGGTATACAGTAATTAAAGTGGAAGTGAAGCAGTCAGTCAAGTTTACATTTAGTAAACTGATTTCCACTTCAATTAAAAAAGATATAACAAACACGATTAATGTAACCGTTTTAAAGAAAAAAGGATGTTTTGTAATAGCTTTTGGAGCAAGGTCGCTGCCATCTTGCAATTCCACAGCATGTCACATCACGGGGTTGGTTCACACTTTATGAACACACGCTTGTTTAAATGGAGGAAGACAAATTTAAAAGGAAATGCATTGAAATCTCTTAAGCGCTGTCTCGCGCTTGAATGGCTTAAAACACTTTTAAGCTGTTTAAGCCGGCAAGGCTTAAAACAATGATAAACTTTAAAAGAATAATGTTAGAATGATAAACTTAAGCCGATCGTTCAGGTGATTTGTTACACACTGGAGCGTCCTGTTAACGGCAGGTAACATTGTATTCGCAGGTGAACATAAAATATCTTGCATACCACTACTGCTGAACAAGCCAGTGTAATGCAAATATGTCTGAAAGGTCTGCCATATCAATAAAGATGCCACATGAACGATATTGTATGGAGCGTTGTTTACATCACATTGCGCCTTGCGTTATGAAAACAATGTTTGGGATACCACGATCAAAACTTTTGGATTTAGACAAAATATTGGATTATTCATGCGATTTTATGGTGAAAACTAAACACATTTGTGTGTTAAAATAATATTTGTGTTTTCAAAACAGGCCCGGATTGGCTAATCGGGAGCACCGGGAAAATTCCCGGTGGGCCAGTCTGTTTTTTTTGGCCGTGAGGGCCATTGTTGTCATGCCACTGGGTTGAAATATGGATGCTGTCCCTAGGCTGCCTGCACTTCTTTGCAGTCGGCTGTAGTCTGAGCGGTGTGTTCAAGCTAGGTTGACCAGATTTCTCATGGTGGAATACGGGATGGGTGGCCAAGGGGTGGGCAATATGACCATGATATGAGAAACTTTATTTCATGATATATGTAGTTGTTTTTTATATAAGAAAAAAGCAATTTACAAACAATAAGACTAGTACGATAGAAACAAATGAAAAACAAATTTTTCAAATACAGGTTTATTTAACATTTACTTAACATCTTTTCTTGTTTGATTAACATTAATGACAGTTAGGGTTAGGTTAGACGAGAATAGTCAGGTATAATTAAATGACCTAAGGCAGGTATTTAATTAGGCTTCTGTCCCTTTAAGACCGAATGCATGCATGTAATATACCGACACATATCCGGTTTCACCTACCTGTTTAGTTAACTTAAGCCATAACCGATGTACATAAACATGTATTTACGTGAGATGCTCCACACGATGGACATTTTGACAGCTGTGTGTGTATTTGACAATTCAGGTGCTAGGAGAACTGATCGCGTGCTGTCTGAGAGAACTTGAAACACCCACGAGAGAAAGTGCTTCTGGTGTGTTATTTAGCGTGATTCCGCCTTTCCCACCTTCACTAACAAGTTAATCGATAACGAATTGTGATTTGATGGTAATTTTGTTCTACGATGAGCTTGGCTACCTTTTGATTGGGCAGTTGTCGTGTGACAAAACACTACTACTAGTCGCTCTGATCTCCCAATCATAAAGAGATTATGTAATACGGGACAAAACATTATTATTATTTTTTTTTTAATAAGTCGGGACACTAAAAATAGAGATGAAATATGGGACTGTCCATGGAAAAACGGGACATCTGGTCACCCTAGTTCAAACGCACCTTCTTGGTCCAGACACTGCCGACGCGATGCGACAACACCGTCAGCTTTCACCGCCACTAGTTCTTTGAAGTCGGCTTGGTGTGTCCCAGCCATTAGGGACATTAAATTGCTTTTTGAGGTTAAAAGAACAATTTATTTTGTTGATATTTGAATGGTATGGCAATTACAGATAAGACCGTACAGAAACTGAAATGTACAGATAATGTTAATACACAATAAATACACGTAGTCACACAATGTTGATGTTAACATTTAACAATTTGAGAACAAAGTGTAATAATAATAATTTTCACGGTTTGACACGATCTGAGCTAACTTTGAGATTGTTAGGATTAATCACCATTGGTAATGTGATTTATTGTAAAACTTTTTTTTTCTAGTTGGTCAGAACAAAACTGGCAGACATGTTAGTTAATTGTTCAGTGCAACTTATTATTTTGCATATACTTCCAAGACGTAGAATCTGTAATTCTGGTATCCACACTGGTGTGTTGACTGACAGCCACACATACTACTCAAAACATTAGATTAATCCGCGCTGAGGAGCTGTGCCGATGCACAACCCACGTAATGGAGATAATTCTGTAAATAACTGCAATTGCAGGTTTCAAACAGAGATGGTGACAAAGAGGCAAAACTTACGGATTGCAGCTTTAATCAATTTGAGGCCTTTGTTTCTCTTTGCAGAGGGGACCGCACTCAGTTTGGACATATTCTTGGTGACGCACAACGTCGTGACCAGCCTGACATGCAGGACACTGAGAATATGTCACCTGCCCATTTTGCTCTTCTCAGACTGCTCACACACATGTCCATGCTGCTGGGAACTCGAAACAACCTACAGGTATTACATTCTTTCAACCCGTTTATGATTTTGTGATTATACTGGCGTGGAAAGAGTACTGAAAAAGTACACTCAAGTTAAAGTACCATTATCTTCCCCAAAATTAAGTGTGAGCAAAAGTACTTCCAAAAACCTATTTGAGTAACAGTAAAGGTGTAGGTAATTTTAAAGTACTGAGTAGTGAATAGAGAGCTACAAGTTCTACCACCCATATGATAAACACTTAAACACAGTTTAAAAATAATAAACACAATTTAAAATAGTAGAAAACACTGAACAAACTTTAATTCATATTTCATTTTGCTGTTTGTCAAAAACTCACTTAAACGATTATTTAAAAGACCTATTGATTTAGGAACGAAACACCACAGTGTACACCTGTGCTTGGAGTCAAATAAAACACTGTTGTGTGTAAAATTAAATCAAATTATGCTCATTAGTATTAACAAAATGTACAGCGTACTGTCTAAAATAAAACTTATGGCTCCTTCATATTCAATCTCAAATCAATACTGGTCTGCACTTTACTACAATGTAAATGCATGTACTCCGTGTTGTCCAGTGTGTCATGCAGATTTACAAAACAGATTTTAATAGCTGAACAATGTTGTGCCAAAGAAGTAGACTAAAGGATAATGTGGGAGTAGATGCGAGGTACATTCATATTTCTGTAATAAAAACGTCTCAGGTTACGGATGTAACCATGGTTCCCTGAGTAGGGAACGAGACACTGCGTCCTCTAGGGGTCACTATGGGGAACGCCTCATCGTGACCCGTGTCTGAAGCATACATTGAAAAAACACCAACTCGTTGGCCGGCGACAGCCATGACGTCACTACCGGTGCGACTCCAGTATAAATAGACGCCGGGAGCACACATCATCCACTTCTTTGTCTGAAGCTTGCGTCCGAAGCATGGCAACAAACCTAGAGGACGCAGTGTCTCGTTCCCTACACAGAAGTAACCTGAAACGTTCCCTTTCATGGGAACTTTGAACTGCGTCCTCTAGGGGTCGCTATGGGGAACCCACGCCACCATGCTGAGGGGAGTGCATGCCAGAAACCATGGCGAGCACTAAGTACCAACTCTACCCTAGCCATGGGAGTTAAGACGGCTGTCAGTGACATTATCCCCTACAGCCAAAGGCCTAGGCTACATACCCCAAAAACTTACCTGTTAGGGCCAGAACTCCTGGGCCCGGGGTAGAGCTCGAGGCTTGGAATCAGGAATAAACAAAGCAACTGAACAGCATTAATTAGGAAAATCGTGTCAGTAATGCAAAAATGACAATAGTAAACATGCAGTTTTACAAATGCTAGAAACGTGGCTTTCTAACGAAAGATTGCAGCAAATATCTATCTGAGGGAGCAAACACCCAGCTCTCATCGAGAAGGGGGCTCAACCTACAGCATGTTCCAATGCTGTAATGGCTAGCAGTAATTACCTTAGCTGAGGGAGCACAAACCCAGCTCTCAGCGAGAGGGGGGCTCGACCTACAGTGCGATTGTTAGAATCAGAAGGGTAAGCATACTGCAAGCTAGCCAAAAAACTCAGCACATCAGAGAGGCAGAGGAAGGGCCTAGTTTGCCTGATGCTGCTGGTTCCAGGTGCGCTGGGAAAAACAGAGACTCAACTCTCACGTGAGAGGAGAACTCCAAATTCAGAAAGGAGTAGCATGCTCATAGGTAACCCTTTGATAAAAGGGGAGCACTGCTCAGCACTACCACGAGAACAGCCCATGGAGCGAGGAATCCAACTCCTTAGAGAGAATTAAACGCTCGAAAGAAAGCACCATGCTCACAATAACCCTCAATGGTGAGGGGAGTGATGCTTCCAGAGTGTGTAGACAGAGACACACTAGTTGAGTGGAGCCCAAGGTCCCGGGGTCTAAGCCAACTCAGAGAAAAGGAACGAGGCTAATAACTCGTAACCCTTACCATACAGGATTTCAGAAAAGTGGGCAAAGCATAACGTGTACACTTACCACTTATTTTTAGAAAGTGCGCAAAGCTTAACGTTTGTTATATATATATATATAATTATTAAATACAAAAGTATATATTTAAAAATTACAAAATAAACATTAATCGTTCAGTACTTTTAATACTTAAGTACATTAAAAATCAAATATTTTTGTACTTAAGTAAAATCAAGGAGTACTTAATACTTTTATTGAGGTCATTTTATTAGGGCTATCTGTACTTTCACTTAAGTACTTAATTTGTGTACTTTTAGTAGAATTATATATAACATTAATATAAAATTAATAAATACAAAATATTTAAGGTTAAAATTACAAAATAAACATTCATTGAACAGTACTTTTTACTTTTAATACTGTTAGAGCCATAAGCATTATAAGAAGTTTTTCTGAATATTGAAAGTGATTTTTAAATGATAATGTATGTGTATTTTCAATGATTATAGTGCGTCACATAACATAGTCAATTTCATACATAATACATAAGTAACAGTTAATATTTTTTAAATTAGAAGAAAAAGGAAGGGGTTTGGTATTAGACAGTTCTTTTTGACCATTCCTTAAAACTATACTTAGTTTTAAGCCTGAAAGTGTAAATAGTTCTTAAGTTTGATTTTTGTTGTAACCTGACAAATGAAAAGTGAACTTTTACACCGCAAGTTTATTGTTTTATGTGTCAAATCCTTTGCTCAACCCCTATGGAGATGGCGGAGAATGGAAAGTTTATGGATCGCCATTACAAATACTTAAGTACATTAAAAAAAATCTAAAACTTTTGTACTTTTTTTTTTGAGTAAAACTGAACTTAATAATTTTACTGGAGTAATATTTTATTACGGTATCTGTACTTTTACAAGTACTTGATTTGTGTAGTTTGTCCCCCACTGGTGATGTTTACTGTACGAATGTACACTAAATGATTGGGATCATGCATAAATCACCAGAGAGAAGACTGTCCAGTTTTGACATTTTGAATAAATATTACAAGATCAAAACTTTGGAAAATATGAAACATATGCACTAGGGGTGTAACAGTTCTCAGGAAATAAATGTGCCATTCGCCACCCTCGGTGTGGTACGCATTGGATCTCGATGAATCTCAGTTCTGACAATGCATATGGATGACAGTAACATGTTACTATGTTCTGAAGACTGAATGTGTTCTGCAGAATATTCCACCAATGACCAGCTGACACTTATTTTGTGCTTTTGTTTTGATTTATCTATTTGTGATTTTACCCTGTCCTGCTGCTTTCAAACAGTGTTCTTTTTTTATTATGTTTATTAGGCGTGTAATGGTACACGTATTCATACCGAAAATGTTCAGTACGTGTCCTTCGGTTCGGTACGCATGTGTACCGTTTTAACCACTGCACGCTTTATATATTGTTACTTTTGATAAGAAACAAAGTCTCATCTTTAAAATTGTCCTTTTTTTCAGGAAATTCAAACAATAAATGCCGTTTTGACGCTCTTTGATGTGGCGCGACAGATCGCTATATAAACACCTCAGTTCAAACGGCAGCGCGATCATCTCTTCCTCTTTACTACTAGTTTTAACACGAAATAAACATGAATGAGCATCTCACGCCTCATGTAATCGCTCAACCAGTGTTTCGACCGCGGAAAGACAGCAATAAAACAGCTTGTAAACAAACGTCACGTAGCATTTAATTTCCCTCAGGAAGTCATCAGTGTCCACATATCGTTAGTGCGCTATAAATGAAGTCTAGAGAAGAGCATTTCGCGAAATATTAGACTATATACTCATATTTTACTTTACTAGCTACTGTTAGTGGTCTTAATTATTTAATGTATGTTTAAATAAAAGTTATAAAACACGTTATGACAGCTGCTGCATATATTTCAACAGCAAATCGAAATTTTATAATTTAGAAGTTAATCTAAAAACTGCATTATGTGCAGTTTACGTTTGCATTTTTTTTTTAAGTTGAGTGTTGATGATTATTTAAAAAAAATAAATGGTAATTAAATTTAAGTTTGGTTCTTTGTTAATTGTAACCTTATATCGTAAAAGGGCTCCCTATAGTTTAGAGCAGAATCCGAGGTATATTTTTATCTCTAAAAATATTTTAATTCTAATTAAATTTATTTAAAGAGAGTAATTTTTTTTCAGTAAACCACAGGGTAAATTAAAAAAAAAACAATTTTATGTTTAGTTTCTTGCCCCTGCTGTACCGAAATCATACCGAACCATGACGTCGAAACCGAGGTACGTATCGAACCGTCATGTTTGTGTACCGTCACACCCCTTGTTTATACTGTACATGTTTTTATGTTTATTTTAAGTGCTGTTTATACCATTTTTATTTTATGGTATACAATGTACAGCATACAACTTTACATTGTAAAATATTTGTTAATATATAAAATATTAATTAATTAGCCCTTGGTGGAGTATAATGATGCAGGTAAAATATTTTTCTAGTAATTAAAAAAGTGAGAAGCTTAAACCGTTAAATCCCTAATATGCACGGATGCACAGATCTATAACACGCATTTAGATAATAGATAGGGTAACTTAGTGAGAGCAACTTTAACTACCTTCATTTCATATTCTTGCATGTGTCTGTGTAGAGTGTCATGCAGATCATCAAGCCTGCTGTGCCGGATCCCGGGCCGTTCCTGATGGCCCATCTGTTGAAGGACATGGAGCAGCTGAGCAGAGCTCTGGATAAAGGAGTGGATGATACGGTCAGTACCATCCATTTGACCATCCACAGTCTACTGGAACCCCATCAGACCAGCCAGAGTAAGAACCGTACAACTCGCCTTACATTTCCACATGCCATATTGATCTCATGCCACAGAAATTCATGAAATGTAACATTCTGTTATTATAAACAGGGTCTGCTCCTTATGATAAAACCCTTTCCTCTAAAGATGCAAGAAATGGATGGGAAAATGCCATGAATACTGATGTCATTACACATCAATTGAAGGTGAACAACATGCTTTTAGTATATTGTGCATCTAGAATATTTTCTATTTTGTCTGAAACGGACAGGCAATATTGACAAAATCCAACAGTACTTTATGAGACTATGGAGTGGGGGGGGGGATAAGTAAGTAAAGGACTTACTTATCCTTTACTGTATCCTGCCTCTCAGGCAGGAGAACTTGTTGCTTGTGTTAATGTCTTTCCTTTACAGGTCAGATCCATGTGAATAATCTAAAGCACATAGTTTAAGAAGTGTCTTTTTTACTCACCTCCCGGTCCACTTGCAGAATATGTTTGAAAATGTTCTGAACACATAAGTATGAAATTGATTAGTTGTAGTTTACATAGGTTTTAAGGTTTCCCATCACAGTTATGAATTAATTTGGATGGATCTTTATGTCTCTCTGTTTCACCTCTTGCTGCATCCAGAAGTCCTGAGGAATTTTATGTGGGTAACAGGCCAAAACCTTAAGAATTAGTCTCTAGATTAGTCCTGTCCTTACTGGGCTAGTTACTAAAGGTTTTCTTTTTGCTCTCTTGGAGGAGTCTGGCAGTTGTCCTAGCATCCTCATGCAATGACATGGGATATTTTGTTTTGGTCCACCTTGATCCAATCAAAAATGGAGCAAACATTTCCCCTCTGTTGCAGTCAGAGATGTGCATACTCTGTTGCAGGAGTATGTGAATACTCCTTTTTATAGGCACTGTATATCCTTTCAAATTGTGATTATTAAATTAAAGGCTATAATTTAAAGAAGCTCATGCAGTTGCACTACATGTTTCAGAGTGAAGAGCAGCACCATGCTCATTTACATGTGTGCAGCTTATAAAAATGGGTTTTCAGAGTGGCTTGGTTCACAGTAATATGGAGGACCAAACCTGCAGAAATTATAAATAAATGTATGAATGAATTGATAAAAACAAATATAGTTAATTTATTATAAAATATAATCTGAATTTATTTTTAGTACCTTTTTCCTTTAAGTATTATTTCCTGTATTTAACATTTATTTTAACTTTTATTTACTTCTTTCATTTATTTTTATATTTATTTATTTTATTCATTGATGCACTCATTTATTTATTTTTTAAATGTATTTATTCATGAGTTTATTTATGTTGTTGTATTTATTTATAGTTAAGTTATTATAAAATGTAATCTGAATTTATTTATTTACCTTTCCCTATTTGCATTACTTTAAGTATTTATTTTTATTCTTTAACTTTTATTTACTTATTCTTTCAATTATTTTTATATTTATCGAATTTATTTATTGATGTATTTATTTATTTTTAAATGTATTTATTTGTGTGTTTATTTATTTGAACTATTTATTTATACCCACATGTATTTATTTCCAGATTTATTTATTTATTTTTATTTTTCCGTGTGCAACATGGAAATGAGGGAGGTGGTCCTTGCGGAGCTCCGATGAATCATTGGTTGAGAGCTCATACAGACGCGCCAGATCAAACTAATGCTAGAGAGGAATTTGCTATGGCATCAACTGGAGAGTTTTCAAGATATTTTCACCGATTCACATTATGATGTTGAATTATTTTATAGCGACTGAATAATAATACTAAATACAGAAAGTAATGCAAATAGGGAAAGGTAAATAAATAAATTCAGGATTAAATTTTATTAAATATTTACGTCTTATCAAGTCGTTTATATCTTTGTTTTCATATTATAACATTTATTTTTCTACAGGTATCTATCTATTTATATATGTATTTATAATTTCTGCAGGTTTGGTCCTCCATGCAATAAAGGCTGCTTCTCATGAACTCCATCTCTGCAAGTGCTGTGTGTTTAACATGCATTTAAGAACACATTGTGCACTAAATGCACGGTCATGTTATTTATGTTCACATTTGCATAATTTCCTATTATTTTTGGACAGACGTTTTCAGCAATATTCCACCAAAATAAAAGCTAGCAGATTTGACATATTAAAACAATCTATATGGAACACTTACTAAAAAAAGATTAGCTAATTTATTTGTTTACTCGCATGTCATGTGACCATTAACTGTTATCAGAGAACTGTGAATATGCAAATGTGGCATGAAATTCCATCTTAAAACCTCAGGCAAATAGATTATGTTTAAGGAGTTTGGCTGAGAATAAAATTTAGGAACCTCTGGATTATTGAAATGATTATTAGTTAAAGCTCTACTTTCTACTTTGATCCTTCTCTCAGGTTCTAGATTATCAGCTAAAGGAAGTGAATGAATTCATCAGGAAAGACGAGCGAGTGTTTTCTAATCCAGTGATGAAGCTGATGTTTGGGAAACCAGAGCCTTTCATGTGCTCTTTGCCTCAGAACTTCCTTATCCATAATTCATCCATCTGGAGCTGCAGGAGGAAGGTCTCGTTGTTGAGTCTGGCCCACACTGTGGAGCAGAACAATGGCCGGGACACCATACCTATACTCTGGAGGTTCCTTCAGAGGGTAAGATATTAGGGGGTTTTAGTGTGGGTTTATCTGAAGCGATTATTCCACAATAATAAAACAGCACGGGGAAAAAAAATATATATAAAAAAATATTCAAATAAAGTTAAACAGGTGTAGAGGAAACACAGCTTTTACTGAGCTTCGTGCTTGGGAAATCCCTCCCACTCAGAATGTTTCGAAGAGCACTGTGTCTGAAGGCAGCAGCATCATCTGGGTCATCATTCTGTGAAATCAACCAAATTTCAGAAACTTGCCCAAGATGTATTTCTATTTTTAATGTTATTTGTCCTTCCGACATTGTTCTTCAAATACAATAAGTATCAGCTGTATATTGTTTGTTTTTAACCACTAAAAATAGGTAATATCCAACATCTGAACATGGAGCCTCATTGAGGTCCCCTGAAAATGAAGATTGAAAAAGAAAAGTTTATTAAGAACTAGAATCTAAAATCATATTGAGATATCTTTAATACTTCTTCAGTTACATGCACACAAACTTTGGAAAAAGAATATGTATGGCATTCGGACAGCTATGTTCTATGCAATTGTTTTGATAGAGGGAAACCAGATACATTTCTAGTTTCAACATTGTGTTCTTCAGACATTCCTCTTTAAAAGAAAAGTATAATCTGTATGATATATCTGTAATGCCCACATTTGGTTTTTGACCACTGAAAATGTCTACAATTTAGCAATTAATTCTTGGAGCCATATTGAGATCCTAATATCTCTGAAACTGAACAATATAGGGCCTTTAAAATGAAGATGCCAAAAGGAAGGTTTGTTAAGACCCGAAAACAAAAAGGTCATTAAGATATCTTTAATATTTCTTGAGTTACAGGCATGCAAACTGTGGAGAAAAAAACTTTTTGTTTTAAAAGTTTTTGAAGGGTCACCACTTGCATATAATGTAACAAAGATTGCTAAAGTCAACAGATTTTACTAATAGAACGTCTCAGGTTACTTATGTAACCATGGTTCCCTCCTCCATGGCATGGCATCCTCTGGGGAACGCCTCGTCATGACCCGTGTCTGAAGCATACATTGAAAAAACACCAACTCGTTGGCCGGCGACAGCCATGACGTCACTACCGGTGCGACTATAGTATAAATAGGTGCCGGGAGAACACATCATCCACTTCTTTGTCTGAAGCTTGCGTCCGCAGCATGGCAAGAAACCTAGAGGACGCAGTGTCTCATTCCCTACTCAGGGAACCATGGTTACAGAAGTAACCTGAGACGTTCCCTTTCATGGGAACTTCGAACTGCGTCCTCTAGGGGTCGCTATGGGGAACGGTATACCCACGCCGCCATGCTGAGGGGAGTGCATGCCAGAACCATGGCGAGCACTAAGTACCAACTCTACCATATTGCTATGGGAGTCGCCCCTGGGACGTTAGACGGCTGTCAGTGACGTTATTCCCTACGGCCAAAGGCCTAGGCTACATACCCCAAAATACTTACCTGTTAGGGCCAGAACTCCTGGGCCCGGGGTAGAGCTCAAGGCTTGGAATCAGGAATAGGTTCCTTTAAGGGAATACGACCAAGATTAGAAATAACGTTGCTCATTCCAGGTAACCCTTTGATAAAGGGGAGCACCACTCAATACTACCACGAGGACAGCCCATGGAGCGAGGAATCCAACTCCTCAGAGAGGATTAACGCTCGAAAGAAAGCACCATACTCAAAATAACCCTCAATGTTGAGGGGAGCGATGCTTCCAGAGTGCGTCTACAACACTGCAAAGAAACTAGCAGAAGGTTATACACACAACCACCAGCTCATTATACACACACATATATATATTTATATATACATCTATTTAGACATGGATCGTACTCACCCACCATGGTTCCCGCATCGGAGCTCTGTCCGAAAAAGCCTCTAGACCGGACCATCAGTAAGATGGTCACTATGAAGCCATAGAACCAACCAAACCTAATAGGTCCAG